ATAGATTGTGTCTACAACACTATAGTATTAAGATTAGGAGTACACAGCTTAAATAACCTAGGTCACATAAGTAATTAGACTATTCACAGGCATAAAAATTAAACATTACACTAACAACTATTAGAATCGATAAAGAGGCCTATGTAATTCCCTAAGCTGAAAAATTGGGAATTTAAAAAGCTGGAAATAGGGATCGTAAAAAATGTAAGCAAACAAGGTTGGATATACTGTAGACATTATTTACTCAAACTATAAATCCCTATTTTGGCTCCATGCTGTTATCTAGTATCACATTTGATGGAGTCAAAATAGGGATTTGTAGTTTGAGTAAATAATGTCTACACTCTACAGTATCTCCAGCCTTGTTTCCTTACTTTTTTTATGTTCCCTATTTGCATGTGTTGAATTCCCAATTTTTTATTTATCTCGTTTTCTGACTTTTTTATGCTCAACTATGAGTAAAGAATTGTTTGATATGGTAGTTAACTCTATACATTGTAATGATAATAAACATAGCTAGTAGCTAACTGATACTGTTCATGATGATTTACTGTAGCTATTGGCCATTAGATCGCAATAGTCGAGATGTAACGTGTTAAGCTGCAGGTGGAGATTGTCATGGAGATTTGTTTGGGAATATAGTGAGTATTTATAGCTTTTGTGTAACAAAATTATTTATATATAATACATAGAAATGGGCAAATATATGCCTAGACTAAGACACAACCCTCATTGAGCGCGTACACAATTTTACCAGCAAAAAAACATCCTTTTCAAATAAAACATATACGTCTAAACATCGCTTCAAATAAACCTGCCTGTCTTTTAAAGTATGTGTGAAAGATAAAATTTAAACTTATGTGTATTGGTTGTTGTTTTTTTACCCTTCACTTCATACATAATATAGGGGTTGGCTCACTAAAGATACGGATTATACAATGTACAAAGCATTGAGTACCTACATGTTACATTAATCTAATGTTCATATATTATTGGCTGGTAATTCCTGTTTCACACTGTACTTAAGCTTTTTAAAGGAACAACAAATATTTATAAGAAAAATAACTTCTAGGGGCAAAGATAACACCGTTTACACTAAAATTATGATGTTTTTAGCTTATGTAATATATAGAAGAACAAAATCGACTTTTCAATACCCCTACGACCTTCGCAGTACCTTATTTAGTATTCAAAAGGTTTCGGTACAATATACCAAGCCATTTCTGTTGTAGGCTGGCAAGAGAATAATAATAAGAAGAAGAAGAATTACAAAAAGGCCGTTTTGAGCGGATTTGATTTTCCTTGTAAGTCTAACATGCATACTTTTTTGTACTTTTTTTCTGTGTACAGCTTTAGCAGTCAATATTAAAGGTTTTAAGATTTTGCTTTAACTGAATCTTTACTGTTTAAGGTGTTTTTGCCCGAACGTTCTATTAGGATTTTATGCAAATTCCTTGCGATCTTTATTATGAACCACTATCGTGATTCATGATATAATATCATGGTTATTAACCTGTACGATCACATAAGTTTAATTATTGAAATTGTTATTAATATTAATTTATTGCTGTATACTAGTTACTTTATAGCTTATCTTCCAGCTAATAATCTGCTACCGTCTTTATTGAGACTCTGAGAAGGACTATTTCTGATGTGAGGGGACGGAATTTCGCTTATATCTATCTATATATTATTATCATTACTCAAACGAAGATTTAGGGAAAAAAGCTTTTTCGATGTTTAACTTGTTTATTTAGAATAAATATAAGTTGTCGTGTTGACAAGGCTCGGCATGGCCAGGTGGTTAGGGCGCTCGACTCGCAATCTGCGGGTCGCGGGTTCGAATCCCCGTCACACCAAACACGCTCGCCCTTTCAGCCGTGGGGGCGTTATAATGTGACGGTAAATCCCACTATTCGTTGATAAAAGAGTAGCCCAAGAGTTGGCGGTGGGTGGTGATGACTAGCTGCCTTACCTCTAGTCTTACACTGCTAAATTAGGGACGGCTAGCGCAGATAGCCCTCGTGTAGCTTTGCGCGAAATTAAAAAAAAATCGTGTTGACAACATGAATTTTATTATAAGCAAGACTATATAGAAGTTTAAAAAAGGGTTGAAGAATGTTTGAGGATTAAGGCTGAATTTGTTGATTAGTTTTCCTTTAATGGAGATTGGGAGTCAGATTATCCTTGATGGGCCAGAAGTCTCCCAAATGTCCCATAAGTTATGAGTTATATATATTGGAGTGCAAATTGGCCACACAGTAGAGCTCTGGATTTCGGAGCTGGCAAACTAGATTCGAATCCGTGCGATATCTAAACATTTCCCGCACTTTAAGCTTTGTTTATGTTATAAGAGTGACAGTCAGTCCATTAGCGAGGATGGTGAGTGGTAAGCTGACTAGCCGCATTCCCTATGAGCAATAATTCAAAATTAGCGACAGCAGCAAATAGCATTAGTTGTTTTGCCATGAATACACAAATACCCATGATTTAATACAGTTTTGTGAAATATAAACTTATTATTTCATAACACTAAACGAAAAGGGAAATTTGTTACTCTAACTTTGAATATTGTGGTAAAAAGTACAAAATGGCTTGATTTACACGAGTATGCCTAATAATGACTGAATGTTGCTATAAAATTCCTGATTTTATTTACTTTGCAAACATAATCATATAGTCACGATATTTTTTAAAGTTTAATTACTGATATGACAATCTTAATCTTGTACAAGTTATTTAATGTTTTTAAAAGAGAGAGGATGTCAGCAGTATTCCGGAACCTAAGCATTCTATGGAAAATTTTGGAATTGCCCTGAATTAATGTATTCCTGGGTTGTAAAAAGAAAGATTGAGGGATTAAAAATAGATAAATCACAAGGACCAGACGTCACTTTTCCCGCTAAGTTTGACTGAGAAGTGTGACGGATTCCTAGAGCTCTCTTTATATGTTCATCAAGTCAAGTTCGTTAGATGTTGTAATATTAATCAAATAAATATTCTGAGAATTATTACACAGATTACATAATTGTTGTGTAATGCGATGTGTTTCTCTTCTTTCTTTATTTTTTCAAAGCAGTTTTCTTAGGTTACAAAATCTCGGATATCACAATTAACTACTAACGCCTTCTAGCAGGGACTGCTAGAAACATTTGCTACACCAGGAAATCCATCAAATTTATCTATGTATACCACTGCAGATAATTCCTGTGTTTAAAAGCAGTACTATCCTGATTGATAAGTTCATCGCAAAAAATAAACATAAATTACTTCGAGTGCCAGAAAATTCCTTCTTATGGTTAGAATATGCAGATAAAGAATGTTGAAATAGGTTTCTATTTTAAATACAACACATGCCAGAAAATTCCTTCTTATGGTTACAATATGCAGATAAAGAATGTTGAAATAGGTTGTTATTTTTAATACAACACATGCCAGAAAATTCCTTCTTATGGTTAGAATATGCAGATAAAGAATGTTGAAATAGGTTTCTATTTTAAATACAACACATGCCAGAAAATTCCTTCTTATGGTTACAATATGCAGATAAAGAATGTTGAAATAGGTTGTTATTTTTAATACAACACATGCCAGAAAATTCCTTCTTATGGTTAGAATATGTAGATAAAGAATGTTGAAATAGGTTGTTATTTTTAATACAACACACATCTATAATACAGCTTAAGGAGCAAAACAATGTTGTTTTT